AGCAACGATCTATGTAGCTTATTGACCCCTCTGTCCCACTTTGACATCAACATAAAGATACTGCAGTGACTTTCTGCTATCTGATCAAATAAGCGTCTCTACAGGCTGGTCGAGTTATGACATTTCATTTCTATTGTGTCTTTCTCCTACATTCCAAGCCTTACATAATTATGAAAGAAAAAAAGACCCTGAATTGCATTTTTTGTCTGAGCTGCACTTCTTGCAAAAAAGGGGGTCATAGTTCTGTCCAAACAGATGTTCTCTTTTGCACTGAAATAATCCTGAGGAAGCATTCCTAGCTGACTTATTAACATGCTGTGTGCTTGTTCATGGGCCTTTGTCTGCGGGGCGTGAGGCAGCATACATCACGTTCAGGTGTTGTTTAATCGACACACAGTACATCTTCCTAACTCATCCTCATATGTGAGGTTATGAACGTTCTCTACTGGGGTGTGTAGGTGAGACTGGTTTGCTAAATACAAAAAGTATATGAATGCAATGCAGAAGACAAAATATCCTGAGTGAACTCATCATGATCGCCTTGGTACAAATGTGACAGAATCTGACTGTATTTAGTTTTTTAATCCCAGGATTAAATGAGAAGTTAATGATCCAAAACTACAATTAAACTCAATTCAAGTCTACAAATAACAAACAAATGTGCAAATTTGAACTCTTGTCGTTTTGCTTTCATGAATGTACATTTTGTTGAAAGATATGTAATGAAATCTCAGCTCTAAATATCTCAAAGATGAGATGACTGTACTTGGCATCCATTAGATATCTGTGATTCACATGCTGTTAATAAAGGGAACCAACATTCTTCAAATACTGCAGTTATTACTGCTGGAAGCAAGTCTTTATTTTTATCTTCGGGTTTATCATGACACAAAGTGCTTCATTGAATCCGAATCTCTTCAAACCTTCAATTCAGTTTAAGCTCCAAAGCTAAAGAAATGCTTAAAAACGTTTTCCCGTACTTTTGTTACTATGGCAAGTTTACACGCCAAGTGTTGCTGGTAAGAGATAATGTCCGCTCTGCCCAATAAAATTTCCATTTTAGACGGTAAAGCGGCTTGCAGGCATATATTTTCAGGTATGCGATTGTTTGGCTTCATGCTGAACTTCCAACTGCCATTTGGACTTGACAATCCTATCAAATGTGACCAGCTGGACCACTTGCACATGTATATCATGCACACTGAGATACTGTTCTATGAATACTTTCCAATGGGGCCATGTGAGAGTCGATTGTCCAGATTTAGCGTAGCGGCGCGGCTTCTTCACCTACACCTTTTTTCTAAATCCATATATTTCTTTCTTTCACCCAATTGTCAACAGCCGTTTAAAGGCTGATATAATTTGCTCAAAGAGCTTCTGCCAGCTGGATGAGTGACAGAGAGGCAGAAAGGAAAGCAAAATAACAATGCATCCATAAATGGTCATTAGCATTCAGACAATCGCTCGTGCAGCCTCTTTGGCACGGAGCCCTTGTCATATTCATACCAAAACAGACGAACCGCTCGCTGCTGTCTGTCCCAGGTATTCTTTGGAGGGTGGCGGGCGTATAAATGGCAAATGCCACAAAAAAAATTGAAAGGAAAGGAAAGGAGGGAGAAGGAAAGGAATGGAGAGGAGACGTGAGCGGGGAGAAGGGAAGAGGGGGAGAAGATGACAGTGCCCGAGGGAACAAACATCACCTCCTGTCTGGCTCCCTGACAGCAAGGAGCAGACAGGTGGAGTCGGGAGGAGGACGGGCAGAGCCTGTGTGTGTGTACGTGTGTGTCTGTGTGTGTGTGTGTGTGTGCAGAGCTGCAGCATCCCTCCAGCCGAGAGAAGGGCATCTGTCCATCTCTACTCGACTCGGACTGAAGCGCGCGGCAGCTGTCCTTGTCCGTCGGAGAGCCGTGCTATTAGACGGCGTACCTCGCCAGTGTCTCACTGCGGATGTAGAGTACCCATCATGCATCTGTTCGGCCGTCGGTTATCCTCATGCTATCTGTCACTCGGCCTGCCTGTTCCTGCGTCCGTCCGTTGACAGAGCGAAGGTGTTTCTCTTCCAACGAGCACACTTCGTGTTTATTTGCCCACATGCTTGCCTGATCTGATGTGTCCAAAGCTGCTCTTCCTCCCTGTCCCTCTGGCCGTTCTGTAACTTTCTGTGTATCCCACGGGTGAGCCGACGCGGCCTCGCCTCTCGGTTCCCTTTGGATCTTGTATACTGATAGATGTCTGGGACGGATATTGGGATCAAGCGATCTTATTTGCTGCAGGGAGCGCCCCCCTCCTCCCCTCTTCCTAACACATGACGGTGGCCTTCATAAACATACAAGCCATTGGGATGCAGACCACACACACACGCACAGACACTGGCAAGCACAAAACATAAAGGTCCAGGAAGCAGTCAGCAGGGAGAGATAAATCAAGTGTGCACATGCATTGGTTTGATCATGAACATACAGTACCAGTCAAAAGTTTGGACACATTTTCTCGTTAATTCAACGAGAACGTGTCCAGACTTTTGATTTTTGGGCTGTTTTCCAATCCTTGTTGGGTTAAAGAGTAGTTTAGGATTAAACGGTGGACAAACTGACACAGGAAACAGCAATTGTGATCTCAACCTAACTTTTCTGAGTTAAAACGTCCAACAAAATAATTTTCTGACTGATGCATTGCCGGCTTTTTCGTCCGCCAGTTTGTCTTCCCTGTGGTAAATGGCTTTGGCAAGCGAATTCTGATGAATTCTGAGTGTGTGTTTTTTGATCAACACGAGAGCAGCATATTATAAGATTGCCTCCGTTGAACGGACCCTCAAACTCCTGCAACCTACGCTTATAAATGAGACAACCTTTGACAAACTGATTGGTGCAAAATCTTTTTTTATGGTGGCAGATTTACTGTTCAGCCTAAACCCTCACCGATTGGTGGAGGAACTATCACTTCACCAGAAAGTCATTCCAACAAGACTCAGAGTGTGCTGGGAGTGAATGCAATCATCAGTATGGTCACATGCTCACGGAGACAATGCTATCGTACTGCTGGATCGCAGGTGTAATGCTTACTATTGTCACAGCGGTAGTTGAACCTATTAGCATGCTAATATTCACAAATTGCTCCAAACACAAGATAGCATACAACTGAATTGAATTTGTTTCAATTCAATTCAGTTGACTGTAAAAACTGACTCTCCCGGGTGGCGGCAAAGTGCAGCACGTCCAAGCAGACGTGCCACAGAAACAGTCAAAGACCGACTCACAAATGTGTATATTCAATTTAAAAATGTACGCTCTACCTTTTCATCAATAGAAAGACCAAAACAGACAAGCCAACACGGCTCCCTATTCCTTCCTCTCTTCCTCCATCTTTCCATCTCTTTCTTCAAACACTCACGTGCGCACACGTCCCTTCCCACTGGATAAATCAGCCCTTTCATGCTCTGTCGTCTGGCCGGCCCTGTTCTACTGTGTTTCTATAATAGAGAAGGAGCAGTCCCTCTCTTTTACTACTCACACATACATCTTCCTCTTCCCTTCCTTCATCTGTTCTGCAAAGGGTTTTTGGGGGAGTCAATCTACAAGTACACTGTAGAACGGAGATAGGGGACTTACAGCATGTGGGATGACTGAGGAGGATATATCGACGTAATGAAATATGTGTGCGTGCGTGGGCATGTGTATGAAGATGGCGAGGTGTAATTTGCTCTTAAGTGATAAGGACGAAGTTAATAGCTTTCTGAAATGGGACCGCGTCGGCGATGAAGGCGGACTGATTAACATGAATATAATAATGTTATCATTGGCCTGTAATCAGGTGATGGCTTAGTGTTGATAATGATGGTGGTGGCACCTTTGAAAGATGGGTAATGACACACAAAAGGCCCATACGTATAATGCCGTTACAGGGCTGCAAGAAAAATGAGATGTCATTTTTGTTAGAGGAATGTACGTTGAAGATCCCCCGAAGAGTCTATGCTAATTTATGTTTATGCAGTAAAGACATGATGTGTACCTTCTGACAAAAGCATAAATCCCTCTCCTTCCCCCTAGAAACAACATCTATTTTAAATGGTACAGTGTCTTCGTCCTTGCTCATCTCGCCGCCTTCTTCTCCGCATGGCTTTATTGGCACATCACTACGTTTCTTGGCACGTTGCCAATTTTGTCTGTCAATCAGTTGAACAGTGTGAAAGTGTGTGCATGTGGTAGAAACAAAATGGGGGCCCAACGTCCTATTTGTGCACTAATATGGTAAAAAAAGCACACACACAAGCAAAAGAAACACAAAATTCTTAAATGTTATATAAGTGTAAAATCAAACATTCCAGATGCTCTATATATGACAGCAATGATGGATGATGACACTCCTACCAAAGCACTATTTGTGTAGCTCTATTATAAGACTATGAGGTCACTAATTAAACATAAAAATACCCTCGTTGTAAGGGTTCATTATAAATAATCCCTTAATGTTAATGAATCTGTTAAGTATTTACTATATATAATTTACTTGACATGATTATTAACGTAAAACCTCTTCTTCTTCTCATTTGGAAATGGTATCAAAAGTTGTTGTTGAAACATGTTAATAATATTTGTTACTAAGGCATTAGTAACAACATATAAAGTCTTTATTAAAGGGTCGTACTGTTACTCTTACTGAAGACACTCGTCTTCACAGCGTGAGTTATTGGACAGTGTGACATTGTAGGAAATACCAGAACCGTCCTCCTTAACTCATCAATATTATGCAAATGAGTATCCGTACCGTATTGATTTTTGGCTGTCATCATGATGATGATGATCATGATGGTGGTGGTCGGTTGACGCAGTGGTAAAAATGACTGGTGATGATGGATATTGTACCAATACGAATCACTGCTGAGGGACAGAGGTGTAGAAAACGCACTTTGAGATTTTGAAAGGCACGTTATTGAGAGAGAGAGAGAGAGAGAGAGAGAGAGAGAGAGAGAGAGAGAGAGAGAGAGAGAGAGAGAGAGAGAGAGAGGATAACAACGTTCCTCCTTCTTGGGCTCAGTTTTGGGACCGGCTGACGGGCTGAACGGGCGACGGATGAAGAAACTTGGCACAATCACACCGAGATCCGACATTCAGAGGTAAATCCAGGTCAGTTTGACCTGAAAGCTGATGATCCTGTTATTGTGAACACTTACTATTTACATGTTTTGTCGGGCGGTCGGGCTGACGGGAGATCGGACCCAGTTCGCCCCCTCGCTTAGCATTTAGGATTCGCGTTTCTCTCTCTGCTCTTTGGCACCGCCGCGTGACATTCAGCACAGCTCACGTTTGGTTTTAAAATCGCGATGCGTTTCACTTAAAATACTTCAATGTCCATTCCGTTGGCTTCTGTTAATTGTTTCGGCGGCGTGTGGTTTGCGCGCACGGGGGACCGAGTCCGTGCGTATTTGCGAGACCGCGCGGTTTTTTTTTTTTGCGGGAATATTTGTTATCACAAAAGTAGACCCCTTAAAGCTCTATGTGAAGACGGTATGTTTATTGCGATAATGAGGAATATCGCGGCGGGACAGGTGGACGACATTGAACACACGGTCCTGATTGGGAGTTTTTTTTTATATATGTGGCCATAATAGCGCCATAATAACTGTCATGAACACTTAGTGATCCGCCTATTGATCCATTCGTCGATCCTAAGAGATTTATAGTCTCCTACAACCACAAGGTGAGGAAAAGAAGCTGTCACTTTTTTTTATGTGCAAATTAGACCGACACCATATTTTTACACCTGCGAGCCGATTGCTCACACAAGGCGTGCATGTGCGCCGCACGCCTGTCTTGTCTGCAGCCTTTCGGTTACCGACGCTCGGCTGTGGCGGGCAGCGACTGCCAGACTGTCACACCGAGCACCGACACCCTGGGGCTTTTTTTTGGTAGGGGGGCAAACATTTTACCCGCTCGCCGTATATGCGCAATTTCTCCGCGGTTGAGCGCGTCTCTAATGAGGTTGATCGGCTCCGAGTCGCTCCAAAGACCCGGCATAATTGCATCCATTCATAACGCGACCTTATAAGTCGGTGATAGTAATAATGTGTGTGTTTGTGTGTGTGAAACCTTAAAGCATACATTGGCCTTCCGGGGAAATGTATTTGCTTGGATTTACGACCTGGCTTTTCAGGTCATATCGATTATTGCAGCCTGCTGTGTACTATATTGGTGTGAGCATGGCTCTGCCGTATCTATAGATCATTTCCAGATGATGGGGGGGATCTTCCGTTTGATACAGTCATCTTTTGCAGCCAGGGGAATTCTCAATCGTAAAATGTGTAACAATGTGTTTCAGCCTCTTGTTGATCATATAGAAACTAAACGAACACACACACGCACACGCAAACGCACACGTACACACACAATGGGCCTTAAGCGCCTTTAATGGCTCTGATCAGTGTGGGACATGTTTATGTATGCAGAAAGCTCATGTTTTATACATCACTGTCCCACCAGAGTAAATGGGTACAATCAGTTCAATGTGTGTGAATGCGGAGACTATATTTGTTTATGTGATCTGTCTGTGTATTTGTGCATATGTTTTTCCGAGAGTATCTTCCACTGTATGTGCCTCTGATTGAATGAGGACTTTTTGCAATTTTCTCTCGAGCAGCTCTCAGCATGCAATGTTCTTTTTTTTTGTCGTTGCCGGTTGTTGTTCTGGGAGAAAACAGCATGAGGGAGACTGGTGATTGGACTCATACCCTCTCCTCCTCAAAGGTGGTTATGAGAAAGAGGGAGACAGAAAGAGAGGCAATCTATGTGTCAGCATTTCGTTAGCGGTTGTTTACACCAGATAGCCCTCGTATTTACCCAGATGGAGATGAACAAGCAAATGTGGGGAGGGTGTGTGTGTGAGGATACATCAAGGGAGGGAGAGTGGAGGGCGAGTTAGATGGAGAAAAGGGAGGAGGGGGATAGATAGATAGATGCAAAGGTGTATAGAGGTGGATGGAGAAGGTGACGAAGAGGGAGAGACGGAAGAGACAGGTTGCCCTGAGTCCGTGACTTATTCCGACGGTAAAACTAGAAGCTGGAGGGAAAGAAGTTGTGGCCAGTAAGCTGACATTACTGTGTGTTAGGCCGACAACAAGGGAGGATCTGGGGATAGATGGTGAGAGAGAAGCAGCACAATAAAACCCCACCAAGGAAACATAAGGTGCATGAGTTTTTTTTTCGAGACAGAAACTAGAGAGTCAAGGACGCAGTGAGGAACACAAAATTTGAATTCTTTGAAGGTCTTGACTGAAGATTTTTCTAATCTTCCTCCACCAATCTTACACAACCTTGTTGCCTCTCCTGCCTGGAGTGCCTTGTAAAGTTTTGCCAGGAAGACAGATTATTCACTAATTACGTTCCAGAGACTCCACTCGCCGTCTTTCTTTCAAGACTCAATCAGACTCCGTCAATGGCATGCGCTCCCCCCATAAGATGTTCGAGGCACTTTGAAACATGCTGATCATTGGTGGGGGGTTATGGTTTCATGTGACTCCCTCTATGGGAAACACACATGCAGGAAACATGGTAAACGATCAGTGAGCCTCCATTTCCTTTTGATTCCCCTCTAATGAGAATGGGAGTATCCCCAAGATGTGTACCCATGGGACTCCTCTCTTCCGACTGAGTGTGTGTGTCAGTCCGCGGAAGCGTACCATTCATTAGCTGACAATTCAGTGGAATGAATCAGACAACATGCCCTCCCAGGGATCCTCGCAGAGAACAAGGAAATAAATGCCTAGTACCGGAGACGTGAACATTCCCCAGGGCCCTTTGCACACAGAGATAATGTAATGGCAGAATTCCCTTTCCATTTTCAAACAGGAAAAGGAAACAAGGGGCTTCCAGGATCTCCCGTTGCCTAAGATCCCGCTTGTGCTCAACCTCTTCTTGCTTTCCAGACATGGGTAAAATGGAATGAGCTGAGCAAAAACCTTCAGCAAAGAACTTTTCCTTTGGTCCTCGTCTTTTGATGGGGGGGGGGGGATAAAACGCCTTTGACACTGCAGTGACTCTGTCGGAAACTGAATCTGAACTGTATCATCTACCAATTACCTCTCATGGGGAGTGACTCCCTTTAAAGTCCTGATGTGGGGGATTTTCTGCTATACCTCCCCTCGTTGCCCTTTGATAGGGATCGTGCATTGAAGGAGGTGAAGACACACGATTGCTGATGCCTACTTTTTAAGACTTGGGGGAGCTGGGGATTTGCCAAGGGGTTCCTCGGCACGCGTCTCTCAGGAAAAATGTGTGAATTAGCCTTCGACATCCTTCACGCTCTCCCCCATCGTAACCCTCCATGCACTGGTGTGTCTCCCCAGTGAACCCCGGCGCAAAGCCTCAAGCCTCCCTGCAGACTGAGGTTATAGCAGGGCTCCATGACCCCGGTTGGAGCAGTGCTGTGGCTAAGGCTAACACAGAGCCGTTCTCTCCTCGGTGGTGATAGGAGGGAAGGAGGAACGGGGGTGGGAGGTGGGGGGTGGTGGTGGTGGTGGTAATTTAGAGGAAATGGCCATGTCTAGCGGTGCAGTGTTCTCCCTCTGTGGAGACCTGTTGGATGGTGCTGCAGAGTCTGTCACGGTCCACATCTTCTCAGACCAGCCTCCACTGTTTACCCTTGAGGGTGGAGGTGCGTACGGAAGCACCTACTGGAGAGCCGAAACACTTGTCTGAGACTGAGAAAGACTCTATAATCATTGTATTCTCCTATTCCACAAGAATTGAAAGTTTGGAGGCGCTTTCTTATTCTGGCGTCAGCAGGGGGTCCCTAGCGAACTGAGCAAGGCGTTGGATTGGGTGAGGCTTCTCCCAGCTCGTGGTGGATAGATGGGATGAAGGTGGTAGAAAAAGTGAAGCAGCTCGCTCCACAGGAGACATTATTATACAGAATGGCGGGAGGCTGCTTCTGCGCAGAGTGTGTGTGTGTGTGTGTGTGTGTGTGTGTATGTGTTTACAGTTACACTCTGCTGTGTAGAAGGGACGGAGAGAGAGGGCAAGAGGGCAAAAGAGTCAGACACAGACCGAGAACACTTAGATGACTGTTAGTTATGTGAATTAATCTAAATATACTTATTCTCTTAGTATTTGTGATGAATCCTTAAGTAAGGTAATGACAGAGAATGTATGAAATGGTTGTGACGGTTCCCTCGCTTCCGACAGATGTTTTTTTAAATATTGATTTGTCTTGCCCTCACGGTATGTAGCGTTGTTCTTCCGTTTGGTTAGCGCTACTACTCGTTCGACCGACTACTACCCCCCCATGACTCAGTCGATTGAAAAGTAGCTTGCGAGCTGAAAAAGTGTGGTCACCCCTGCTCTAAATCATGAGCCGTGGTTGTCGGAGGAGGAAGGTGTTCAAGTGAAGGACATGATGAAAAAACATGCAGATCAAAAGGAAGGAGGCTGCAATTAGCTTGTTAGCACTCTGAATCTTAAATCACGATATTTAATGTAAGATTTGAGCTTCCCTATTGAGACGTCGCATCAAAGTGATGTTTTGGTACAAGCAATTGGACAGCAGTTTCTCAATTTGATGATGACTTTTCATTTCCCTCCTCTTAACTATTTCTTAGCACACAGGAAAATTGAAGGCAGAAAGTGGCTAAGTTCACCATCGTTTTACACAATTTCTTTGAACAATTGAATTGAATTTTTTTGTGCATCGTCATTTCTTTTGGTGTTATTTATCGCATCTGCACCACTGCATGTATCCCATTAGCTGCCGACACGGCCATGACAGCAAGAAACTTACACTATAAGCTGCCACCCTTGACATAGAAGTCCTGTAGGAATTGAGTAAATCCTATTGTAATTTTGCCTTCTCCATGAAGATAATTGGCTTATTCCTGTGTTAAATAGCCGGTCCTGTAGGACACTGACTGGGCTTAGCATGCTTTGGGTAGATGGTGTGTCTGTTCCTCTGCTTCTTAGGGACTTACAGGCACATTACATTCTGAATTACTGTATGACAAAGATGAACTGATAGCTGTGCACATCCCAGAACTCCTGTTCACGGACTGATATGCGCTAGTGTCTGCATGAGCATGCGTTTGATTCCCGCAAGGTGCCCGCTCTCACACTGTCTTTTTTCTGCTGT